GCTCACGGAACGGCGCACGACGGGACAGGACGTATTTACAGGACGGCCCCAAGGCTGCACACGCACAACCCCCCCGGCCCTGACATACACCCCTCCCCCTCCTCTCTCTCTCTCTCAGGAAAGTCGGCATCTCGGCGTCGGTTGTCTCGCAGGTCAGTGGCAGCTCTGTGGCAGGATTCACCCTGGGGAGAAGAGACGGGGGTATCAGAGGAGGCTTCTAAACTCTCACCCTGGGCGGACAGCACGTGGCTCAGGGAAGGGTTGTTAGTGGACTGAGGGCAGAGCCCCCCGTCTGGCTGTGCCTGATTGGCTGTCAGTTCCCAATGACCAGTCCCTCGGTTTCCCAGTGACACTGAGGACTGAGGAACAGCTTGACTTGGGGATTTATGTCCTCGGTCCTGGAATATCAGTTTGGACGTTGCTTTACGCAAAACACGTGAATGATAGATGGAGGAGAGGGCTGGTAGATCAGCCCCAGTGACCCTCTGACATGTTTGCTGGCTGAAAGTCGGGTTTCCTCTGGGGAATGAGCTGCTGCCCAGTCACCTGACCGGTTGCAGGAAGCTGATTGGCCAGGTGACTCTTTGAAGAAACAGGAAGAGGAAGCTTCCAGGGCGTCAGTCAGGGCGGGGAGGGGAGTGGATACCTGTTGCTGGACCCCATGTGCACCACTCGCCCGAGAAGAACTGACCACCTCCTGAGGAAACTGAGTTGTGAAGTTTTTGTTCAGAGTCTTGGACTGAGAGAAGTCTGAGAGACTGCTTTGGCAAAGACTTGGTAGTTTGGTTTGTGGCCGACGAGCAGTGTAACGTCTGCGAGACGTTGAGGCAGGAGCTCAAGGGAGAGCGTAGGCTTTTGTTTTATTGGCTGAGTTCTGGGATTTTGTTTAAAATAAGTGTTTTGAAAACCTTAACGTGTGTGTGTGTTGGCCCAGACCTGCCTGTTTGCTAAGATACTGTTATGATGCCCATGGGTATGTCACAAGGGGTTATAAGCGAATATAAATTGAGCGCTACAGATGTGTATTCTTTAGTTATGGGGCTCTAAAGGCTTCCACACAGCAGATGCTTAAAACCTGTACTTATAATCTATGACACTACTCTGTATCTTCTGGCTGATATTACTTTCCCATTCATTGCAGTGTTCTGTCTCAATCCCTTAAAGTATATATATTTTTACAGTTAATGTATGTAGCATATCTGCTGATGGTTTCAGTGTAAACTTTCAAAGCAGTTATGTGTTTTAGCAAATTGTCTGAGATGTTGGAGACAAGTTAAACTGCATTTTGGTGGCAAAAGGCTTTTCCATACATTTTTGGTGTTAAAATGCCAACAGTACCATTTGTGTTAATTTTAAACTTGGTGTTATATCTGGACATAACAGAAACCTAAGGCTTGTCTCTGGGTTTCACCGGTACTCTTGTCATCTGTACTGGGGAGAAGAGACCCTTTACAATAAATTGATTTAGCTGGTTCTCTGGGCCCTGACATTCTGGTCTTATTAGAGAAAACACTCATCCTTCTAGACAGCAGGTAATGACCGATCCCCTAACACTCAAACTCCATCCCTCCCCGGATTCCTAACCAAGGAGATGTTGACTCATGGTGACAAACGTCTGATTGTTAGTCTTACCCAGGAGAATCTCTTCAGTTCTCAGTTTTGGGAGCTTCTTTGGCTGCAAAGAAGAAAAGAGAGAGGGGATATAAGTATTTTGGAGCCCACTATGAAAACTGCCAATCGCAGATCGGCGTTGATCTAAACCGATCGACACTAAGATCCTGCATTTTGTGTGAGCTGTCGTCCAGTCGCTGTGATCTAGGACAACGAGCCATACAGCCATCAGAGACCTCTGTGTGACCGATTTCATTCACCACAGTGAGATGTACTTTAATAATGCGGAAATCTTGTTGGACATCCAATGGCATTCACTATTGCCTCCATATTGTAAGTGTATGTGCACCAGTACGCTCACCAGCTCTCAGTGGGGAGGAGAGCAGAGTGATGAAGCCAGTTCATAACGTGGTTAAACTTCTACAGTTAGCAATTCGCCAATCGTGCAACAAGTGTCTTCTACAGGTGCACTGATCTGGGGTGCCCGTGTTCGTGTTTGTTGTTTAACTTGTCTTTGGAGCCTCCAGCTCAGGCTGCTCATCAATCCACTACTTCCACCTCTCTTGCCATGTAATAATACGCTACATTGTATAGATCTCTGTACGGATCATCCGGTCTTGTATGTAGATCACGTCTCTCAATCCTGGCTCCCCTGCTCTTTCAGATTAATTTGATGCAAATTAATTTGGTAATTTGGTGCAAACTCCACTCAGAGGAGAATAATTCAGGGCTGGAAGAAGCCATGCTCTTGTGTTCTTTTACAAATCTTGTTCCTCCATGTCATGACTGACTCTGCAGCAAGCATTTTACACTGCCGGTCTCTGTAATCTACGGTGGATAACAGCATCTGATCATTGTTCAATGATCACAGTGACAATTGTGCAAAGCAAGGCTCACACTGCGTGACCCCTCTTACCCTTGGAGGTGATGAGAGTCTCCCCCTGGGCTTCCTCGTCCCCAGGAGCCCTACAGGAACCAAAAAGTGGGGGTCAGATGGCTCCCAACAGCATTCCTCATTCCTCAGCACT